ACATTTAATGATATGTGCACTGTTAATTGTATCTTTATTTTACAGACAAGCCTGTAATATAATAGGTGTGTTTGAGCCAAAGTAGAATAGGTCTGTTACCTCTGTTAGATACTGGGCTCCTGTTCTTGCTGCCTAAGAACACTCTCACTTTGGGGGTGAGAGGAGAAAGCATTTACATTATGCTTATTAACACCAAGTTAATGAATATTTAGCTTTGAGTAAACTGGACCTTTGTCTTTGCATATATGCTGTTGCATTTCTTATATATCATCTTTGTACAGTTATGTTTTTGGAATTAAATGTGGGAGACTGTACTTTTGTACCAGTTAAATTTAGCCTCTCAGTTCCATCTCTCCAGATCCCTCCCAATTCTGTCATGTAATGTATTTGCTGATTTACCTAGCTTTAAGTCACCTATGGAGTGGAAAAACACAATTTCTAGGTGTTTAAATCACTAACAAAAGTTTAGAATCATTCAGGAATTAGAAACTCAACAGTGCATTAAAAACACTTCTTTCCATGTTGTCCCTCTTGTTTCTGATATACTTAGTTGTATTAGCATGTATTTACTGTCTTGCCTGCAGAAATCTCATGTTGCTATATAATAATAATTTTTAGAGCTCCGTATTTCATCTCATAATTTACTTAGCTGTTCTATATTTCTGTTAGTTTTTCTAATAACTGATTTTTTTGTTGTTGCTGTTGAGTCTAGATAGCTTTCATACAATTTTTCCCTGATCTAGTAGTCAAGTGACCCTGTGAAAGAAGGAATTGAATTTGCATTTTTAACAAAGCTGTCTTTTTATGAGCTGCACTCATTACTAGGATCTCGTAATCATCCTTTTGTCATCTTTTGGGGCCCTGCCCATTCATAGCAAAGCTTAATTTACCATGGAGTAAGGAAGCGATCTTACCCTCCTTTTTGAAGACTGTAACCATTTTTGCCCAACTCTAGTCTTCAGCTACCTCTGTCTTTTCTCATAATACCTCAAAGACTACCAAAAATGATTTGACCAAAGATAATTTATCCTGGGATAAGTTTTGTAGGGCAGGAGGCCTATGTAGAGTAGCTGTTTGTTTTCTTTAAAATCTTCTTCTGGGGCCTCAGCTTCCACTTACTATTTCTTAAACTTTTCAAATAGAAAGTAAAAATCTTTTAGAGAACAAATGGAAGCAAGATAGATGTTCTGCTTTCTGTTGTACCTCAATGCCAAATAGTATATATCTCATTTGTCATATTGTAGCTAAAAAATAAAAAGCAAAATTATTTTGTTGTGCTTAGCATTTTTGTCAGGCAACCAGTTAGATCAATGGAAGAGTAGGTAAAGAGGAAAATAGAAGAAGCTGTAGATGATCTAGATATAGGCCACAGCCTGCTATGTAATTTGTAGGTAATCAGTAATTAAAGTGGTTCACTTTTGGAAAGTGGCTTGTTTGCATTTGGTGTTTTCTCCTGGACTTCCTTTTCTTAAAACAGTGAGGGGGTTGAACATGATTGGTAATCATGTACTTAAACAAAGATTTATGGGTTATAAAGTAATAGAAAACAACCTCTAAAAGCCATTTATTGACAAATTACTGAAAAGATCAGGGATAAGACAAACTTTAGTCACTGATTAACCCAGGGGCTCAAGTGATGTACCAGACTGACAGGCGCATTCGCGTGCCTTCCCCTCCTTCACCTCATTTGCTCTCACTCTCTGTGCTCCATATCCTCTCTGTTGGATCCATTCTCAGAGGCTTTCCCCTTGTAGTACCAGATGGCCACGATAGCTCTTCACATCCCTCTCAGATTTAAGTTCAGTAGGAAGAAACAAGTCTGTGCCCCAAAGTCACAGCAAAAGTCTCCTTGCCACCCACTGGCTCTTGTTGAGTGACATGCACATCACACATCCTGAACCAGTCATCAGCATGGCCAGCGGGTGGGGGTGGGGGATGGGATGAAGCTCTGCTCAGACTCTGTGGAGAGTCAGGAAGCAGAGATCCCTAAATGAAAAATGGAGCTATTGCTGAAAGGTGAGGAAAAGGATGCTGAGGTGGCAAGTAACAAATATGCACACCATGCCCCCTCAGTTCTGATTTTCATATAAATTGGTACCTTTGATATTATTTGACTGTTTTGTGACCTACAGAAACTTGCATTCTGACCTAATGAACGTGAAGACTTAGAGTGGAGGCAGTATGACGGAAGGAGCATGGCTTTTTGAGTCACACATGTATCCTTATTGTTGAGGAATTTAAAGGGCATCAAAAAAATAACACTCTTTTCTCCTGTTTGGATTCTGTCAAAAGACAAAGATTGGTACATAGGAGTTTAAAGATCAGTTTTATTATTTTATTTTTTCCCATTTATTGTTTATTTATATTTATGTGGTGCAGTGCAGTTTTACTACATTGATATATTACATTGTGGTAAAGTCAGGAACCTTCAGTACATATATCAGTGAAGCAACACGCATTGTACCCACCAAGCAGTCTCTCATCATCCACCCCCTTGTTTTATTATTGATAAAAGCTAGAGTGGCGGAGGATTGGGTTTTTGTGTGACAGCAAGGAGGTTCTAATAATGAACCCATAACCTGTTATTTACCTCTGTTCCAGCACTTTGAGCAATTGTAGGCTTTTTAACTTGGGGATTTGCCCCTAAAAACTCAGACCAGAACGCATGAGTTCTGCAGACATCTGGCTCCCAAAAAAAAGGCAGAGAGGTGAAGAAGTTATATATGTCTGTTTTCTCCAGGAAAGTCTCCTGTCAGGCAGGTTATTTGATCTCAGTGATAATATGTAGGGTAGCAGGCTGGGAGTTCTTGAGGAAAATTCCCTTTTATGGAGTCCAGAGGACAGATGAACTCATGTCCTGAGCACATTGCTTTATGAATCTTCATTATTTTATCTGTTAAATAATCAATTTTAGGGTTGGTGTAATGTTCAGGCCAAAAATCTTGGATATGGAAACTTAGGGAGATTATCAAATAACCAGCCTCTCCAGTTCTTGAAGTTAGGTTGTTATAATAATTGATGTGTGAGTAGGAGGGAACCCACTTTGCCTAGGAGTTGAATAAAATTGGTAATAATTGGGCAAGCATAAAGATTTGTGAAGTGGGAGGAAGCAGGCAATGAAAGAAAATGTCTTGCAGAATCCGTAACTATCACATTCTTGCAAATTTAACCCAAGGTAAGCAAACCTGCCTCAACCAGACATCTTCACGCTGGTGTGAATTTCAGGTTTTTAGCCCATTTTTCAGTCCAGTGGTTCTCACAATGTACTCCCTGCCAGAACAATAGCATCAGCATCACCTGAAAACTTAATAGAAATGCAAATTATGGAGCCCCACCCTAATCCTACTGAATCTACTAGAGGTGAGGCCCAGCAATCTGTAATTTAACCAGCCCTCCAGGTGATTTTGATACATGCTGAAGTACAAGGACCATATATCATGATTTACAAACATTCTCATAACAATTTCATAGCTGAAGATTAATTGCATTTACCAGTATCTTTTCTAGTTCCTAATCATCAAACATTTTTTTTTAATTGTTTTGGGATGTCGGTGGATTGCTTAAGAAAGGAGAAAAATTGAATCTGTAAAATGCAGGCAAACAGACACGAGCAATTAGACTGCATTTTCATACTGTAGGTTTAGATATAGTGGCATGATGCCTATTTTAAAAACTAAATGTAACAGCAAAATGCACAAGGGATTGGATGTACGAGATATTAGAATGAGGAAGAACCTGGGAAGTAGCAATTATAATTCTCATAGAGGGACTTGAAAATAAGGAAGAAAAAGGGTTATACAGAAGAGACTTTTCAAAGGAAGAATTAACCAAACTCAGTAACAGACTGAAGCTGGAGAGGATGGAATCAAAGATGATTTATGATTTCGAGCCCAGGTGATTAGGTTAATGGTGATTACAGAAGGAAGCTGTTTAGGAATAAGATGAATCCAATATTGGGCATGTAAACTTTGAGATGATTGTTAAAATGATATATATGGAGAAAGAAGAGCTGAGAGCTTATCTTTAGATAGATTAGAATAATAGGAGGACTTGAAAGTATGGTAAAGAAATTAATGTATCTATTCATTCCTCAAACTTAGTGTCTATCATGCATCTGACACACTCCTGGGTTCTAGGATATGGTAATGGACAAACCCTGCCTTCAAAACCAATAGTGTAGGTGGAAGGAGACAAAATAACATATAAGCAAGTGAACAAGATAATTTCAGATTAAGGTAATGAACAAGATAATTTCAGATAAGGATGGGCAAGGAAAATAAAATAGAGTTGCAGAAAAGACTAAGGAGTAGAGAATTTCTTTAGATAGGAGGCCAAAGGAAAACATGAGGTGACATGTGACATAAATCATGGTGGAAGATAGTTTTATACAACCAAAAGATGGTGGAGTCACAGAGTGGCCAAAGAAAATTGTAGGAAACTACATTAAAGTGTGTTTTTGTACTTTTTGTCCTTTCAGAGGCTATTCTGTATGAAAAGTTTAAAGAGATAGGTTCAAGTATTAAAAGGAACATGGGCTTGGAGACAGTCCAGCTCAGCAGACATTTTAGCCATTTGTCAGCGATGCATAAAACTCAATTTTTCAAAGCTTTACTTTTCTTAGTAGAATAAGGAGTAGTAACACCTCATTGGATTAAATGAGAGAATGAATTTATAGCAACTAGCGTAGTGCTTGGAAAGTAAATGCATCAGTGGTAACTATTAATAACAGTAATACTGAGTGGATCATAAAATTCAGTCCATGTGAAATGCAGTTTAATTTGATAATAAGATCTAGTGTCTTTTGATAGATAATTTTATTTAGAAGTTATACTTTGATATTTTATCATGTAAAATATGTCAAAGGCATGAGGCTATAATTCACAAATATTTTTATAATTTAATGATGTACTTTGATTAGCTACCTGATAACATTTGGAAAGTATTCTTATGTGCATAATACTCTAAAATTTTATTAACTTTTAAATATTTTCTTCTTGCAGATGTGCACATCTCACGATTGATACGAAGGAACTAGCCATGGGCCAAAGGTCAAAATACTTCTCTGGGAATCGTTGCTGCTGATGCTGTTTTACCAAGTCATACAATGAGTGTTTGGTTTGAGAAAGACTTTCATATTTAAAGGATTTTCATCTTGGAAATATATCAAGTGAAAATTAGATTCTTTTGGGAAACATTTTCCTCCTAATAAATTATACTTGTAATGGGCGACATGGCAAACAACTCAGTTGCATATAGCGGTGTGAAAAACTCTTTGAAGGAAGCTAATCATGATGGAGACTTTGGAATTACACTCGCAGAGCTGCGAGCTCTCATGGAGCTTAGGTCCACAGATGCATTACGAAAGATACAGGAAAGCTATGGAGACGTCTATGGAATTTGCACCAAGTTGAAAACATCTCCCAATGAAGGTAAATTTTATCATGTTCATTTTTGGTCCTTTGTACAGAGAGTGCTATGTGTTTGGCTTATAAATAAACATGCTTGTATTGTCTTGGCTGTAGTATAATTATGCCATAATTATAGTGATATTAAAAATGGGTTAGTTACCAGATTAGTGCAGTTAAGGTATCTTTAGATCAAAATATAGTGCTGCAGATGAATTTGTGTGTTTTAGATTGGAGGGATGAAATATTTTGTCCTATTGTACCTATTATTGCAGCTTGTTTATGATAACAAGATTGTCTTTCCGTTTGAGCTATAGAGGAAGGAGCCAGGCTTGGTTGCCCCCCCCTGGGGATTCAGTGAAAATAAACTCTGCTCACTATCCTTCATTTTACCAGGTGGCTTAAAACAGTTGTCACTGCCAGTAGCTGACCAAGTTGCTTTTAGCTTATGGGGCTTAACCTAAACGTTAATGATTCATTCAGGAGGTCCTAAAACAAATGAAGTAGGTTTTACCTAAAACAAATGAAGTAGGTTTTAGTTGTCAGGTTTTTTTTTTACCTACCAGACATTCCTTTGATTAAAAATAGTTTTCAGTCTTTGAATTACATTGAATTTCTCTGTGTTCAAGGAAGCCTTTGGTTTCATAAATTTTGATTTATAATAAGTTTCTTTTTGAGAATCAAGAAAGGAAAATTCATTGTAACGTTATTGCATTATGGTCTTTGAAATTATTTCAGAAGATGGCCTTTTATACACTGATCATGTTGAACGTAAAATTAAGGTTTTAGGAAGTTTCAAGAAGGCATTTCCAAATTGCAGAGATGGAATGGGGAGGAGGGCACACATGAAGGTGAATGTTTGGTGAGCACAATTTAGTAAGGATGAGAAATCATTAATGTAAAATCTTAAAGTATATTGTATGTATTCCAAAAATAATTCTAGAGAAATTATGCAAAAGTGTTTTTCTTAACATTTTTTTCTGAAACATCTTATGCCATTCTACTGCTTCTGATAATTTAATACAACAGCAAAAAATCATTTCTAAAATTGTTAAATAACTGTCACATCAAAAAATTCTTAAAAACCTTTATGTAATTCTATGGGAATTGCTAATTATTTTAAAGATAGGTAGTTACTTTGATTTCTCTGAGATTTAAGGAAGTCAGAGTTAGTATTCACACATGTCCCAAAAGGGCTTCTTCAGACGAGTTGGAGTATGTTCTTTTTCTTCAAGACCTGTTAACTGTTCGAGATTCTCTGAATCTTTTCAAGTCAGAACCACTAGAAACATAAACTACTTAGTTATTCCTTAGATATACTATACCATTTTAAGGTAGTTGGGATCCCTGTTACTGCTGTAGATTCAGGGAATATGGAACAGTCCTATGGACTTTAATAGTAATTTGACAAAATCCTGAGCTTGTTCATTATGCAAACCCACCTTGAAATACTAGTTAACTTTATAGCATCTTAGAGATTTGTCCATTAATATGCAGTTCTCATTTGGTAGATTCATTTATTCAAGTTAACCGTATATACTTTCTACATTCAGTCTGAAATGTGGTTGGATGTTTCATGAGCACTATGTTGAGAGGAGATGTTAACATAAAAGAGCCCTCAATGTAACAACATAGTTTGTTCATAAAAACAGTGTTGAAGTTCAGTTTCAAATCCACACTTAACTGTATTTCCCCTAATCATGTCTTTGTATTTCTTTGCTGTTAATCAAACTCTTAATCTTCTAGTAACTGCGTACCCTTCTGTTATGCCCTCTCATTTTGATAGACATGATTTCTCATTAGTTTGCCCAAAAGAACAGCACAAAAGAAACTGTAATACTAATGTACTCTTTGCATTGATTTTTGGTTTAATTATTGAAATTAACTGAAAATTTTGTACCTAAGTACAGTGGTTTTTAAAATTTGGGAGCATGATGACATCTATGGATAACCTCTAGAAATATTCACTTAACACTCAAAATTTTATGTGAATTATCGCTACTTTGTGCTATTAAGTAAATATGTGCATTATTTTCCCCTCTTTTATTCTTAGAAAATTTTTACTCATGTTCTTCTTAGTATTGTGAATTTAATATTTGCTAAAACTTGTATAAACTATTGTCTTCACTGTTTATATATACAATTCGTCATTTTGAAATGTTCTTTTAAAGAATGTGAAACAAGCCATTTTAAGCATTATATTTGTGTTTACATTTCTTTAAAGTATAAATAAAAACAGCAGCCTTCACATGAATATTATTTCCAAAGAAATATTCATAGTTTTAGTTTAATTTAGGAGAAATAATTCACTCAAAAAGCTAGTGAACATTTTGTCACTGTCATCAACTAGACCAATAACAAATGAAACATGATCAAGATAAGCAATTAGGAGTTCATATGCCCAAGGAAATAATCTAGACGGCAAGTATTCTTTTGTTAGAAGAACTTGTTTATAGTTAGAGTGAGAATTAAAATGATTCTTCAAAGGACATGAATTTTGAATAGGTAAAACTGAAGTTGTTTGCTTGTCCCTTTAGTTCTTGCATTTATTCATTCATTCATTAACACATGCAGTCTTTCATCAGACCTGGGTTGTTGGTTGTCATATGTTTTATGTACCTCCCCTAAAAAAAAAAAAGAAAGTGTTGGCAGTTATTGGAAGATGGTCAAATTCTATGATTAGAGCACATCCCAATTTCAGAGATTTTAATAAAATGTAAGGCCGGACGCGGTGGCTCACGCCTATAATCCTAGCACTCTCGGAGGCCAAGGCGGGAGGATTGCTTGAGCTCAGGAGATCGAAACCAGCCTGAGCAAGAGCGAGACCCCGTCTCTACTAAAAATAGAAAGAAATTAATCGGACAACTAAAAATATATAGAAAAAATTAGCCGGGCATGGTGGTGCATGCCTGTAGTCCCAGCTACTCGGGAGGCTGAGGCAGAAAGATCGCTTGAGCCCAGGAGTTTGAGGTTGCTGTGAGCTAGGCTGATGCCACGGCACTCACTCTAGCCCAGGCAAAAAGAGTGAGACTCTGTCTCAAAAAAAAAAAAAAAATGTAAGAATATGTGCATCTGAGAGTTGCTGGAATATAGTATTTATTGGGTATCTGCTACGTGACAGGTACTTTTCTAGGCACTGTGTGCGCGTCCATGAATGAAACAAAAATCCCTGCCTTATTTTCACATGGGAGAGACAGACAGTTCATAGGACAACTAAATGAAATGTGTAGTGTGCTGGTTATAGATACACGCTTAAGAGAAAGAGCGGAGAAGGAAAATCAGAAATATTGGAGGTGCTGATAGTAGATTGCTGTAAAATCTGGAGGAAGAACTCAGGACATTTCTTAGGAACAACAACCAAAATGATAGATAAAACTTGTAATGGGTAACACTTTTTATGCCATTTTGAATAGTAGCACTTACAAATATTAAAATGAGTTAATATTTTAACAGCTTTGTTATCATGCAACACCTTTATCCTATTTTACATCTGAAGAACCCACGGCACAAAAAGATAATTTACCCAAAGTCACTCTCTGGCTACAGTCTCATTCTGGCTACAGAGAGACCATCCTTTTGACCACCGTAGCATACTGCCTATTATAAAAGTTCATCTCACATAACTCGTAATAGAGTTGAGATATTGAGAAAGAGATACCCATGTTCCCTTCTCTCAACAATATTTTTTGATGGAAAAACAAAAATTTTTTTTTTTTAGGCTGGGTGCGGTGGCTCACGCCTGTAATCCTAGCTCTCTGGGAGGCCGAGGCGGGCGGATTGTTTGAGCTCAGGAGTTCGAGACCAGCCTGA